CGATCTCGTAGCTAGGTCTCATGGCTAAGTCCCATAGCTAGGCCTTGTAGCTAGGTCTCATAGTTCGGTCTCGTAGCTTGGTCTCATAGCTAGGTCTCGTAGCTAGGTCCTATAGATAGGTCTTGTGGCTAAATCCCATAGCTCGGTCCCGTACCTAGAATCCGTAGCTAGGTCCCATAACTAGGTCCTATAGTTAGGTCCTGCAGCTAGGTCCAAAAATATGGGCATTTACTAGTTCAGTCAAACATCTTTGACCGGCACTCCAACCTAGCTCGGCCCAATTTGGCTACACAAATTACCCTCTCAAATGACTTGTTTGATCTTCTATCCTTTGGTTTGATTCGACTATCAAATAAAAATGAGAACATTATCAGTTTTTTTCAATTTTAAAATTGAAAATATTATCAATTTTGCATAGTAATATTTCAAATAGTTGTTTTGCTAACTGAGGGAAAAAAAAAAAAACAGAACATGAGATTAAATAGGTGATTTTATTCTTATGAACTCTAAATCTGAGAAGATTCGCAACAAGGATACCAAAATTAATGTTGAAATTGAAATCAAAATAAAAAAATAAGAGTTTCAAAACTGAAAAGATTCCTTAAGAAACTATGGTTTAAGATATTTTAATCTTACTTGTTTTCACTATTTTGCTTCTTTGCATATGAAAAGTCAAATTCACTTCTATTAGAGCATCGAAACAGGTCTCGTGATATATAATAGCAGTGCTCAAAAATGTTTTTAGATCATCGATGTTTGAAATTGTTAAGATCTTCTCTCCTATGTTCGCATCTATAGAATTGATCAAATCGTGGAGTCAATCTACATCTTCGTCGATCACAATTTTGCAAATCTCAGGGTATCAGGAATCGAGGTGAACCTTTCCAACATTCTTCAGGCGAGGAATTTACTCTTCCAAATTTATGAAGCCAACGCCGCCAGGGACGGAGCCAAAGAAGGCCTGAGGGGGTCACGCACCCCCTCCCCCTCAATTTTGAATATATATATATATATTTTGTGGTCATATACTCCATATTTTGTTCATTTTTTTCTTAACATTTTCTTTGGCTAACATTTTCATTCAAAACACATCATTTATAAACAATATCATCTCTTTAATATTTTCTGTCAAATACAAATTGAATAGATTTTATAATAATTTGTGCTATAAATGATGTGCTTTTATTTTATAAAATCAAGAATTTGATCAATAATTTTTTGTGCTAAAATTACAAACTTACATCACCATCTCGCACAGAGCTATAATTATAGAACTTTGTTAGCCTCATATTAATAATGATTTTTTAATTTGTCATGCTTAAATTTAGCCGATAAAATTATTATTATCTTAATGTTGATCATGTGTTTTTTTTAAATAAAAAATTATAATTAATAAGTGCCCCCTCTACCTTAATTTCCTGGCGCCACCACTGGCTGGTGCAACATCAAGCTCACCTCGAATGGAAGTGAACAAAGCCGAGAAGCCAGCAATGGAGGATCCATCAGCTACAATCCCCAGCCAAAGAAGATCAAGTGTGCTAGGCTTGTTCCTATAGAAAGACGGTGGATCGACCATCAAATTAGTCAAACCGGTGGCGGCTCGATCAGTGTGGAGCCCTAGCCTAGCCGTTACCGATGAGTTGCTCTCTAGTATCACCACCACAAGACTTATAGTCAGATGTGCCAGCAAAGACCGCCGGTGGTGTCGACGATGGTGGCAAAGACATACAGAGCGACCTGAGAGATTAAGATTGATGACCCACAGATGGGGAAGAGAGCTGCTTCAAAGAAACAAATTTAATTGAGGGCAACAAAATGGGGAAAGAAGAATATTTATATATATATATATATATATGGTTATTGGCAACTAAAATAGTTTTTTAGTCGCTAAAAATAATTTATAAATCCTTCCAATATTTGAAATGTCTCTCTCTAAATATTTTAGTTCTTTTGCGACAAAAAATTGTTTTAGTCGTTGAAAATAAATATTTGGCGACCAAACTTTTGGTCGCCAAAGATAAAAAGTAAATTTTTATTTTTCATATGGTGACTAAATTATTTTAGTAGCTAAAACTACTTATACAGCGACTATAATATTTTTTAGTTGCTGAAAATAAATATTTGGCCACCAAACTTTTGGTCGTCAAAGATAAAAAGTAAATTTTTATTTTTCATTCGGCGACTAAATTATTTTAGTAGCTAAAACTACTTATACAGCGACTGTAGTATTTTTTAGTCGCTAAAAATAAATATTTGGCAACCAAACTTTTAGTCACCAGAGATAAAAAGAAAATTTTGATTTTTCATTCGACGACTAAATAATTTTAGCAGCCAAAACTAATTATACAGCGATTAAAATATTTTTTAGTCGCTGAAAATAAATATTTGGCGACTAAACTTTTGGTCGCCAAAGATAAAAAGAAAATTTTGGTTTTTCATTTGGCAACTAAATAATTTTAGTAACCAAAACTAACTATATAGCGACTAAAATATTTTTTAGTCACTTAAAATAAATATTTGGCGATCAAACTTTTGGTCGCCAAAAATAAAAAGTAAATTTTTATTTTTTATTTAGCGACTAAATAATTTTAGTAGCTAAAACTAACTATCCAGCTACTAAACTATTTGTTTAGTCGCCAATTGTGGCATTTTTAGTTACTAATTTTTTTTTTAGTCACCAATAATCAATATGCCCCGACTAAAAAAATTTAGTAGCTAAATACTATACTTTTGCCGACTAACATAATTTTTGGTTGCCAATTCCATAACTTTTGGCGACCAAAATTTTTTTAGTCGGCGAAAGTGTATGCCAAAAGTGTGTTTTCTTGTGGTGGCTCTTGTTTTCACCATTTCGATTTTTTAAATATAAGAATATTCCAATTGAATCAATGCTTGATGATAGTAGATGATCTCCTAATTTTGTTGCTCTGAAATTTGTAAAGTGAGAGAGATATGAACAAAAATAGTAAAGAAATCTGGAATTTGTGAAGATAGAGAAAGAAAGAGTGGAATGAAAATATAAAAAAAAAAATAAAATCAAGGGGTATTTTGTGTTTTTGAATTTATAAGGATAGATGGATCATATAAAATTAATAGAGAACTCATGAATTTAAAGTTTTGTGAGTAAAATCTTTTGTCAAAATAAGACTTGACTGTAAATTCTTCATTTTTTTTTATTTATTCTTATATTTTCGCACTATAATAAGTCTCACAAGTTTAATATAATTAGATTAAAGCAACATAAACTAATGCAAATAGTATGAGAATGTAATGATAAATTAAATCAAATATATATTTCATTATAACAGACATATTCAATATATTTTCTTTAAATTTTTTTAAAAAATGGTGAAATTTACCATTATTTTATTGTTAGAATTTTTGGTAGCGAAATTTTCACATAGCAAATTGAGTTCTCAAAAAAAAAAATTATCAACTTGGTGCGTATAAATAATATAAAAAGGAAGGATTTTAATTTAACATTATGATATTATAATTTTATAAGATAAAAGATACGTAACATTTTTATAATAATTGGAGTCTTTCAATATTTTCATAGAAATTTTTTTTTAATAATATTATTGAAAGACCTTAACAAGTAGAAAAAGACATTTTAGACCTCTCTTGCTATCTAAAATTAAAGAGAAATATTTTATTAATTTTCCTCGAAGTAATGATTTTTATTTATATATCTATTGTTAAAAGGCAAATTGAAGATTGGGTCATTTCACATGGGCGGTTGTTGATTTCAAAATAAAAAAAGCATGGGTGGTTGTTCAACTTGATTGGTGCATCAAATTAATATTTAAAAAGATTAAAAATTAAAAAGTGAAGGATAAATTAAGAGATATTTTTTTCAAGGGTCTCGATCATTTTTTTATATTTAATTAATGTGCAAAGAAAAAAAATAATAATAACAAATTTGAAACATCTTATAATGAAGGATAATACACGTCAGGTTTAGAACCAAAATACAATATTATCCATATATGAATGAAGAGAAAAATTAGAGATTAATTTGTAGTGTTTTATTCTAAGTGTAATTCAAGGGTTACAAAATTTTCATGATTATTTTAATAATTTTTTTTTTCATGATACCTAATATTATTGATGAATGAATGACCCAATCAAAGCCATCGAGTTTGAAACTCAACATAGGGGTCCTCACCACTTGTCTCAATGCCTACGTCCACGGGAGAGTAGCCGATTATCACTATAACAATGGAGATATTACAGAAAGATTACAATAGAGGAGAAGCTCACACTCTCCTCACTCATCCATTCACCCGTCTCCCTCGCTCACACCGAGGGAGACGGTCTCTCCGCCTCACATATCTCACTCTCTGTGACTTGCTCTACACTCTCTCTCTCTTAAACTCTCCCCTCAGCCTCCATTTATATACTAACAGAATAGGAGATGAAGAGGGGCTGGCCAGCACATGGCCAGCTTGTGCCAACTCTCTTGTGTGTTGGCTTCACATGGCCAAAGGTTGGCTAACATGGCAGCTCATGTGTGTGTTGGCTTTGCACATTGCCAACTCCTTCTTCACATGGAGAATCACCTTTGTGCATTTGTAGGTTAGCAAGCTTGTGCACTCACATGTGAAGGGAATCACCCCTCACATGGGATGATATCCCACAAACATTCTATACGTTCATTGTGTATTCTTGATCTTTCCTACAATGATATTTTATGAAAGTATCCTAAAAATAGAAACCACTTCAATCATGTGAGCAAAGGGGAATGCACATGTGATTTAACAAAATGTTGACTTCACAATTAATTTCACAACTTTAAAGTTTTTGAAAACCAGAAACTCTTTGTCAAACCAACCCACCCTACAGACTTGCGACATTCAAATAAGTTCTTCCATCATGCACTTTAATAATTCAGTCCAAAAATAAATTATTAAAGATTGAACTCTGCTCAATTCTTATCCATTTAAGTCTTGTATTTAAGCTATAGCCCTTCCTATCACATTCCACAACAACATCCAAGATTTACTCAGACAAACAAACATCCAAACGCACAAACAGAGGGACAGAGAGATTGATTTTGAATATTTTGGGCATCCACATCCCATGGTCTTGGTTGAAGATCACAATGCTGATGCTAATGAGGATCAAAATTGCATAGGATGCACAAAACCAATATTGGGTATAGATCCAATCTACAGTTGCAATGAGTGTTCATTATTTCTCCACAAATCTTGTGCAGAACTACCCAAAGAAACTAACCACCCTGCCCACCCACAACACCCTTTGTCCCTCCTCTTTGAGCCTCACCTTACACAAAAATGCGATTCTTGCTTCGAAAATTGGGGCAATTTACTCTACTACTGTTCTCTCAGCGAGTTCAAACTTGACATTCACTGCGCTACATTGCCAAACACCATAGAACACATCGGTCACAACCACCCTCTACCTCTCCAATTGAAGCAAGCATCGTTCTCTTGCGATGCCTGTGGCAAACCACATAATTATGCGAGCATTTCCTACCAATGCACCACATGCTACTATTGGGTACACCACGATTGTGTTTCATTGCCGAACAGTGTCGCACATAGCTCTCACAACCACCCTCTTACCCTGTCTAATGCTTTTCAGTTAGAATTTTCCAAGTTCAAGCTCTACTGTGATATCTGCTCTGAGGTGGTGAACCAAAAGAATTGTGTTTATAGTTGTGCAGGATGCAGATATGTTGCCCATGTTAATTGGACAAAAGAAGAAGAAATTGATGAGCATGTGTAAGTGTATGTCATTTTCAAAATTTGCATATCCTTACTTTCATTGAGTTACACAATTCATGCTTTTTTATTGCATTTTTGTTCTTAACTTTTTTTTTTTTTTTTTTCAGGGATGAAAAGAGTGCAAATGAAGAAATTGATGAATGTATCAATTTCAACTTTTTCATGTTCTCATTCTTATTCCATGATTACTCAATTCATGACTTTTTTATTACATTTTGTAATTCTTAAATTCTTGGTTTCAGAGACGAAAAAAATGAAGGCGATGAACCTGAACCATCCGATCCAGTCTGCTTACCCATGGCCGATTCATCAGTAAATCTAGCAAACCATCTTTTACAACAACTCAGCCGTAAAGACAACAGCAAACCAACTACGCTCGAGCAGATCTATCACGATCACCCACTAACCCTCTTCGAGGTCTACTCTGGGAGAAACAGAGAACAAATCTCGAATGAATTAAAGAACACTGAAATGTGCAATTCATGCCTCGAACTCATCTCAGCTCCTTACTATGGTTGCTCTGAGTCCGACTGTGACTTCCTTCTCCACAAATACTGTGCTGATCTGCCAAGCAAAATACAACATCCACTTCACCCAAAACACACCCTCAATCTCCTCACTAGCTGTTGTATCTCCTGCAACGCCTGCGATACTCTCTGCAACACATTCGCTTACCAGTGCGGCGAATGCTACAACTTTAACATTGATGTCAAGTGTGTTTCATTTCCACTCACAATCCGGCACGATGCGCACGAGCATGTCCTGGCTCTGGATAAAGATCCAGGACGTGCTCATTGCAATGCGTGTCAAAAAGAATTTGGAGGGTATGCACTCCGATGCAGTGGCAGACACTGCAATTTCAACCTCCACATTGGTTGTGCTTCTCTGCCGCGTACAGTTAAGCACAGATATGACAAACATGCCCTCGTGCTAACCTATTGTCCTCTTGACAAAGAGTACTGTTGTAAGATTTGTGAGAAGGAAATGAACCCAAAACATTGGTTCTATTGTTGCGCGGATTGTGAAGTTGGTTTGCATCCCGATTGCATTTGTGACCTTGCTGAGCACCTAAATTTCAAGTTTGAGGCTAAGAACCATAGCGATCATCCTCACCCTCTGAGTTTTGTGAGGAAGTTGAAGGACAATCCACCTCCATGTGATAACTGCGGCAATCCGTGCGATGACCTTGCCTTTCAATGCGAGGAGTGTAATTACAACCTCGACTTCAGCTGTGCATCCAGGTTTGGGTAATGTCAAGCAGTATTGGGACACGTATCAGTATTGGCAATACAGTCATATATACCATATAAGCTGAATTTTAAAACTCTGGTAATGTGTGCAAGTTTTTAATTTAATTTACAGTATGTTTTGAGTGTTTATTGTTTGTAAATTTGTTGGGATCTTTCTCCCATTTTTGGTGTTTTGAATTTGTTGTATTTTATTCTTTACTGTAAGTGCAATTTGTTGTACGTTTATCTTCATTGTAACAGTGATTCATTGCCTTCATTATATTGTGTGATACAATGTATTGGTAAAAATAAATGTATTTTAATCAGTTCATATCTTTTATGTTTCCTCTTCTTTTGCAATTTCCATTTGCAAGGAATTAATTTAACACTAATTATATTGACAAGTCAATCAAGTTGCAGAAGAAAAAGTCTCACTCACCTTGGCTGCTTCATGTTCTTCTCAGGAGATAAACTTGAAATGAAGAGTTTACCAAGGTTGCTGGATCTGATCTGATTAAGCCTTGCACTGTTCAAGCAAAAGCTACATCTGATCGTAACACATACTTAACACCCCTTGTTACATTTCGGGCTTCATGCAGCATACACGTATCACCATGAATGTGAAGGAGAGCCATCCCTTCAGTGGGAGACACCTCATACAATGGATTCCGGCGGCAACAGTCCTACGGAAAACACATTCCGGAACCCTCGCCGGAGCTCCAACACCCAGAGATCCCATTGAACTCCATAATCTCCAGCAATAGATTCTCCTCTTGGTTCTGCTGTTCTTCACCTCTGAAACTCTCTCCCTCTCTCTCTATACTCTTGCGCAACAAAATTGCACTTGAAACAGGCTTGAAATGAAGAAGAATCTGTGCTCCTGATCAATCCATGGAGAAGAAAAAACAGGAGCCAAAAAAAAAAAAAAAAAACGCCACACACAGAGGACCAAACCCAGCTCTCTCTCTCTAACAGAGCTCTCTCACTCTCTCGGCACCTCTCTCTCGGACTTCCTCCTTTCTTTTATTTTTTATTCATCATCATATCCTCCACCACCTCCCTTTCTTTTTTTTAAACAATATTTTTGAACTAACAAACCAACAAACCATGTGCTGGTTTTACCCAAATCAATGGGCCACCCTACACCCAAATCAATGACTCTTTCTTATTTTATTAATCTCATGGCTGGCACCATCATGGGTTGGTTTGAACAAACCCGTGGGCCTCATTATCACTTTATTTTATTTTATTTTATCTTCCTTTTTTCATTTAAAAAAAAAAACAAAAAAAAAACATCATCTCTTTTCTCTCTCGAGATTTCCTTCTTTTACCACTCCATTGGTGAGCTTTTCCAGATTCCTATTCCCACTACCTTCTTTTTATTTTATTTTATTTCTGAGTCCGACTGTGACTTCCTTCTCCACAAATACTGTGCTGATCTGCCAAGCAAAATACAACATCCACTTCACCCAAAACACACCCTCAATCTCCTCACTAGCTGCTGTATCTCCTGCAACGCCTGCGATACTCTCTGCAACACATTCGCTTACCAGTGCGGCGAATGCTACAACTTTAACATTGATGTCAAGTGTGTTTCATTTCCACTCACAATCCGGCACGATGCGCACGAGCATGTCCTGGCTCTGGATAAAGATCCAGGACGTGCTCATTGCAATGCGTGTCAAAAAGAATTTGGAGGGTATGCACTCCGATGCAGTGGCAGACACTGCAATTTCAACCTCCACATTGGTTGTGCTTCTCTACCGCGTACAGTTAAGCACAGATATGACAAACATGCCCTCGTGCTAACCTATTGTCCTCTTGACAAAGAGTACTGTTGTAAGATTTGTGAGAAGGAAATGAACCCAAAACATTGGTTCTATTGTTGCGCGGATTGTGAAGTTGGTTTGCATCCCGATTGCATTTGTGACCTTGCTGAGCACCTAAATTTCAAGTTTGAGGCTAAGAACCATAGCGATCATCCTCACCCTCTGAGTTTTGTGAGGAAGTTGAAGGACAATCCACCTCCATGTGATAACTGCGGCAATCCGTGCGATGACCTTGCCTTTCAATGCGAGGAGTGTAATTACAACCTCGACTTCAGCTGTGCATCCAGGTTTGGGTAATGTCAAGCAGTATTGGGACACGTATCAGTATTGACAATACAGTCATATATACCATATAAGCTGAATTTTAAAACTCTGGTAATGTGTGCAAGTTTTTAATTTAATTTACAGTATGTTTTGAGTGTTTATTGTTTGTAAATTTGTTGGGATCTTTCTCCCATTTTTGGTGTTTTGAATTTGTTGTATTTTATTCTTTACTGTAAGTGCAATTTGTTGTACGTTTATCTTCATTGTAACAGTGATTCATTGCGTTCATTATATTGTGTGATACAATGTATTGGTAAAAATAAATGTATTTTAATCAGTTCATATCTTTTATGTTTCCTCTTCTTTTGCAATTTCCATTTGCAAGGAATTAATTTAACACTAATTATATTGACAAGTCAATCAAGTTGCAGAAGAAAAGGAGATTGAAAAAACAATATCGATTTTTTACAAATTTTCCATCTTTGTGTAGAAGTTCAAATTTGTTTTCTGTATTATGAATGTTGTTTAAAAACAGGGATTTTAATTAGGTGGGAATGGTAAATGGATTATACATCAGAATACAATGAAACAGGTGATCGCTTGATGTATATTTAGAAATTGTTTAGTTAACTGAAATAAAAATAAAATGAAATAGAACAGATTTATGAATAATCCGTGTACAATTCAATCTCAATTTAGGAAGTAGTGAGTGTAGCTTTCCTACCCCTATTCTCTCGAGTCATGATTTTCTATAGTAATTTTTTTTTAACTGATCTTAAAATGATTTTTTTATATGATTTTAAGGTTTGAGAGTTTGAATGTGAAATGACTATTGTACTCTCCATTTTCGTAAAATTAAATCTTAACAATCTAGAAAAATCACTCGAAGATTACTCTATAAAAAATCACTCAAGTGAATCTAGAATGTTCCTCTCAATTGTAATAAAATAAAATAAACAAATTAGACTATATACATTTCTTGCTTAAGAAAATCTATGAATAAACTTTAAAAATTCATAATAATACTATATTTTTCCTTAAATATTTATAAGTATACTTAGGGTTGGCCATGGGTCCCATAACCCACCCAACCAGCCTAGCACAACTCAATACTTTACAGGTTTGGAAAAAACATTTAGCCCATGAGATCAAGTCAAATAGAGATTTTGAAGCCATTTAATTTTTAAACTGGGCTTCTTAGTCATAAGCCCTCACTTTATTGTAGCAATAAATTATCCAAGGATTGAATTTAAGGGGAGTTACGGGCCAATCCTGTTTAGGAAACTTCTTACCTGCTAGGTCTAGCCCAATTTAATGAAGTCATTTTTGCAATTTTACCCCTAGCCTAAACCCGCTACCTAGAACACATGCCCGGCAACGCGCTACCCATCTTCATCTTTAAGCCATTCAACTCTCTTTGAACGATGCTCAGGCGACTCAAACCCTTTGTTGGCCATCATCGTCCTCCTTCGCCGTCAACATCACGAGCCTCAACCATCGTCCTCCTCTGCCATCGTCAACATCACGGGCATCAACCACCATCCTCGTCTTCTTCCCTCGCTGTCGCTCACCTCACACTACCATCCTCCTCCTTCGTTGTCATTACCGCCACTCCTCCATCATCCATGTATTATCTTCAACACCGTCGTTGCCACCATCATCCTCCTCCATTACCGATCTATTATCTTTGATACCGATCTTCACTAGCGACTTCAGATCTGGCCAATTTCAATGCCGATCTACAATCTTCAACTTTAGAATTAGATATATTGTGTATAAAAACTGAAAGAATCAGCCTGAATAAATTCATTATTGATAAATTTATCAATAAATTTGTTGAATTATCTGCTATTAATTCATTAGTGTTTTGGTTATACAGTGTTAGTGATTGTTGAATGATGATTGAATCATAAATTAATTTGATTATTGATCATAGAATGATAAAAATGATTAATTGACCATCCTGCAAATTTATCTCTTTACATTGACAAAAATGATAAGTTTCTCACTATATTAATATTAAAATTCCATCACAGCAACAACCACATATCGAACAAAATCAGTGATGCATTTATCATTGTATTACTATCAAAATTCTAGCACAGCAACAGTTCATAACATATTGAACAAATTGGCTTTCAGTGATAAATTTATCACTGAAATTATAACTAAAAATATATAACACTGTAAATATATATACAATAATCTCCAACAAACACACAACAATCTCCACATTGTGATTAACAAATAATTGAAGAAAAAAAATTACACAAATAATCTCCACATTCATTCAGAACAATATATAAACTCAACATTGAATATAGCAAATCGATGATGGAAGAGAATGATGGTGACAGCGGCGGTAATGGCAATGATGGAAGAGGCTCGTATAAGGAGAGCGAGGACGACAGTGGGTGAGGCAAACGACGTTGAAGGCAACGGAGGACGACGATGGTTGGCGTTAAAGGTGACAAAAGACGATGGTGGTTGAGGCGAGTGGCGTTGAAGGCAGTGGTTGAAGTGAGCAGCATTGAAGGCAACGGAGGGGGACGTGTGCCGACTGGAGAAATCATTAGAGAGAGAGAAAGAGAGAGAGACTGAGAGTGAGAGTGAGAGTAAGAGTAAGAGTGAGAGAAAACAACGAATAGGGGAAAAACAGAGCAGGGGTAAAACGGAAAGAAAAGAAGAGCCCCAGGACTTATTAGTGCATAAAATCAAACATCAAGACTAAAACAGGAATAACTATTGAAAGCAAGACCGGCCAGTAAAAAAGCCATTGAGTTTAATCGGAAGGAGACTGAAATCAATATTACACATAGCTTGACACAAAGAGTTTTAGCCTAGTCCTACACGGCCGACCCATTTATAAAATTTTAATTTTTATATTATTTAATAGCCCTTCAATACCACACCAAAATATATATAGTTCAAATTTGTTAAGTTAAGTGGACAGATTTGAAATTTGAACAATTCTTTAAAACTATGCCTAAGATAGCTAAATTCAACCTGATGTTGAGCCAAACTAAACTTAAAATCACGTTTATGCTCTTATGCAAGTCTAGGCAAAACACGACCCGGTCCTGTGTTTGTGCACTCCTAGGTGTACGTATAACCAACTCTTATATTTGAATGACCAACACAGACAGATGGAAAACACTAATAAGTCAATAGAGTAATGGTAGAGATTCTAAATGTTTTAGCAAATATTTTACTAAATAGTTTTTGATTTTAATAATTTATTTTAATTCAAAAAAATTAATTGTGAGAAGTTGCTCACTCTCTATTTCTGATTATTAGCTTTTGTTGTGGGCATATTAATTTATGATTATACACTTTTTTTTTTTGATGAAAATAAAAAAGACCCAAATGGATTGTGGATTATTTATTTATTCTTTTAATGAGAAATGTGGACTAGTATTGAATAACAAAAAAATAAAAATTAATTCAATTTACAACTAATAATGATTAATTCAATTTACAATTAACAGAGTAAAAATAATATTTGTCCATCCAAAAAACTATTTTGCAGTTTATTTACCAAATATTATTCCGCAACTTAAATATATAATCCAGTAACTGCATCAAATAAATTAATAACTTGTGATTAAAATTAAAATTTATGATCTATAATTTGTTGTGTATAATTTATAATATGTTTTTAACAGTTGCATCAAAAAAGTCACATTGTGGTGGTTTACAACTTTTGAGAGAGAAAGAGAGATGGCGATGATGCCAAAGAAGGCTATTAGGAAGCGTTTCTTACACGACCAGTTGAATGACAAGATGGAGGAGTGTGGAGAAGTGATTTGGAAATACTCCAGGACCCGGTCAGACGTCCTTGATCCTCTGATTGCTACCTGAAAAAGGGATGGACACTCTGGTTATTGGTGCAGGAATTGGCACTCCGATGGACAAGTCAGTATTCTCTCAAGTTTACTTCTATTTCAAGTTATTTCGTCTATTCTCATATACTTCTTTTTGGTTGACGTTCCTCTTTTTATACTACCTCTAGGCCTAAGGGTCGGGCCTACTCTTAATCTCGCACATGATTGCTTACTCGGCCTTCCAGTTGTGTGTTGTTTCCTACTCAACTCCTTACATGGCCGATTCGTATATTCGGCTTCAAGAGCCCCTGGACAGGGCTGAATTGTCTTTGGCATGATTTGGGACAAATTCCTTGGCCTTCCTTAATTAATTTTATTTGGCCACCACAATTGCCCCCCGAACATCCGACAAACTCCAATTAGTCGGTATGTTTGGTTTTATGTATGGGAAGTCGAAAATACAGCGCTTGAACTCCTCCCAATACCGAAGCGTTAGACTGACACGGTTTAGAAATCATTTTAATTTCCTGCCCCTTCGTACGCGTTGCTTATTTAATGCGATATGAAACCGCGCTATCCCTTCGAATATTTTTTGGATATGCAAGGCTCTTTGGTTATCTCACTACGTCTCTCCTTCATTTCACGACCTCTGCAATCTCCATCTGCTCCCCACTATCTTTCTCTCCCTAACCTGTAAGTTCTTCTCTTCTTTGCATTTCTTCCTCATTCGAACTCCCATTTTCTTGTTTGTTTTTAGTTTAGCGTATTTTCTATTCTGATTCAGATGGCAAAACATTTGAAAGCTCTTCTTTCTGTGGACTGTGTTTCCGCCTTTCGACACCATTTTTCGATTCTAAACAATGTCTATCTGTCACTTGTGGCAAATAGCGTAGTTGGCACGGAGAGGACTGATGCGAGTACGATCATCTTTTCCCTCTTGTCAATCGCTGAGGGCGGAGTCCGTTTCCCCTTTCACCTGTTTTTGAGGGCCGTTCTTCGCTACTGGGGTCTACTCCCTTCACAAGCAAATGTAAACTTTTATCGAATCATAATGGGAATAGTAGAATTAAATCGCTGACTTAGGATTAATCTAGGAATCCCTGTTATTCGGCATTGTTATGCCTTGATGAAATCTTCTGGTCGGCAAGGATGCTACTTTCTCAGTGCCAAGGACATCGATCACTATTTGGTGACTATGCTTGCCAGCTCTGGTAAGCGTGTTGATGACGTTAT